ATAGAAAGAGAGAATATGTGGATATCCTTCCTTGTAATGTACATAAAAACACGCCAAGTCATGCAACACATCTGGTATATGTGGCACTCGTACGTCACCGGGCACTAATATATTTTACGCAGGTAAGTTATTGTACATTCCTAAGGACCTACAAGCATGCAGTTATGTAAATGAATCGTGAAAGTTTTTAACAATTCGCAAATTCAGTGTACTATAACATCTAAAAGGCTTTTTCCTACTACTTCCTGCTTACTTGTGTAGTTTAATATATTTTATGGAACTTTCCCAATTTCTTGTAATACTAAATATGCGTAAATAATAATTAATCTTTCACTAACCTCGAAGCCTGCCTTAAAAAAAAAAGATAAATAAAATGATAAATAATAAAATAAGATATATATACACACAAAAAAACAAATCCTTTTTCAGTCAAGAAAAATGCCAATAATTTATAGGTCGGTTCACATCCGGTCCACGAAACCTAAAGGAAAACAGTTATAACACATCTTGTTTATTTCCTAACAAGATTAAGCCGGTTAAGCACACGTCAGCTGTAGTTGGGGGCAAGAGGTCGATACTCTGCTTATTTATTATTCAAGACCATTTTTTCCCTTTGTGTTGGGAAATTAAAGACTCAGCAGGGCAATGAACAATTCAGTGCCACAAATACCACAACTTCGTCAACACAAGGAACATCGTTATGTGGATTGTTACAACTACACGAAACAACCCAATTCCTGGTTTTACTACGAACACACTTGAGGGTTTTATTTGTGACATTCAGTACAGGGTTACTCATCGGTGGGAACGAGTCTCATGGCTCAGACATCGGTTGTTGCATGAGAGAGAGAGAGAGAATAAGAGAGGAAAGAATGGTATGGAGGAGGAAGAAATTATATATATATATATATATACATATATATATATATATATATATATATATATATATATATATATATATAGAGAGAGAGAGAGAGAGAGAGAGAGAGAGAGAGAGAGAGAGAGAGAGAGAGAGAGAAAGAGAGGGTGACGAAGAAATATAGGTGTATATATGTACACACGTGTATGTGTGTGCACATGTGTTTATATATATATATATATATATATATATATATATATATATATATATATATATATATATGGAGAGAGAGAGAGAAAGGAGTAGGGAAGAAATTCCGATACATAGGAGGAAAGAAAGGGCGCGAATACCTGGAAGCGTTTCGCGCTAGTGTTCAGCAATGCAGAATCGAAGCGCATGTTTGGCCGCCGCTGGTTCCCGATCCCAGCCCATGCGTCACTTGCTCCTGTCCTTTGTATCTCCTTCCTCTTCCTAGTTAGTTCCGGTTTGTTTTGTTTTTCTTTTTCTGTGTTTTTTACTGAATGGGTTAAGAGGGAAAAACAATGAAAATTGGAAGTTGTGCGCGGTAATGTTTACTGAGGCACGAAGCTCCACCTCCGCCACCCCATCTCACTCCCAAATATTCCTTACATTTATCCCTTCCCTCCCATTTCACTTCTCTTCCTCTTTCTCCTTCGCTCCCTTAATTATCCCCTCTTTCACATCTTCTTCCTTCGTTTCTCCTCTGCTTCCCTTTCTCCATACCGATTTTTTTCTTTGAGACCCTCCCCCCCATTTTCTGCCTTCTCTCCCTCCTCACCCCCTTCCTTCACCCCTCCTCTCCCTTTCTCCTTCTCCCCCTTCTCTCTCCCTTTCCCCCTTTTCTCCTTCTCCCCTCCTCTATCTCTTCATTTCCCCCTTCCCTCCCTTTCTCCCTCTCCTCCCTCCTCTCTCCCTTCCTTTCCCTTCCCATGAGAGATCTCTTCTTAACCCCCCCCCCTTTGATAGTCGTATCAATAATAGATGAAAATAAAATGCAGTGTACCTGACTCGAAGAATAATGTCAATAATAGTCACAATAATGATAATGATAATAACGATAATAATAGTAGTAATAATAATGGGGATAATGGTACTACTAATGATTATGATAATGATAATGATAATTATGATAATAATAATGATTTTAAAAATGGTAATGGCAATATTGATAATGATAACAACAATAACAATAACAACAGCAGCAATAATAATAATAAAGATGATAATAGAGTTAGAAGACTCATATAGAATCGCATTATGAAGCGCGCGTGCGCGTGTGTGACATTCTTTATGTTGTTAAGTGTTGCCCCATCTTACACCAAAGTTAATTTACTTCAAGTCCGGAAGTGTAAAAAAATAATCATAATAATAATAACCAACGTCATCGTCATCATTATAACCCTATCATCATAATCATAATAATGATAATGATAATAATAATAATAATGAAGACAATGTCATTGTAGAAGTAGTAATAAAGATAATAATGATATCAGTGATAATTATAACAACAATACTATAAGATCTACTACTGGTATTACTACCTCTACTACTACTACAAAAACAACTACTAGTACTATTACTGCTACTATTAGCAGTATTGATAACAATAACAACAATAACAATAGTAATGATGATGATAAGGTTAATATCATTATTACTGTTGCTGTTATTGTTGTGCTCGCTCTTGTTTGT